AATGAATGTTTGTCTGTATGTCCTTTATAGAATCGTAAACTATGCATTTGATCATGTGATGATCTTTAGCAAAGTTGTTGTGCATGAGCCAAAGAAGGTTTCTGAGTTGGTACGACCAATTTTCGACAGGAAAAACAAGAAATATTGTGTATCCCACAGCACTTCAATAAATATCGAATTGAAACGAAACGCTGCAATGTCACAATTTTTTCGAAATGAACAAAATCAATAAAATGACTCAAAATGAATTGAATATTTGTGTAATGTCTTTCCTTCAAATTTATTTTAGTTGGTGGCGTAGCAACGCGCGCAGGGTACAGCTAGTATTGTATAAAAATTTGTTACATATTATACGAAATTCATTCATAGAGAAGTATATGCATTTATGTGTTCTCTGTTTTTTTTTACACAATATACATTGTACTCCATTTACATCAGTCATTAAATCGCTGGGATTTTATCATCACCTAATTAACCTCCCATTTCGGTTAGAAACCCTTAACAATAAAATCGTCGCACTTGGTAATAATTTGAAAAGGATTGCCGCAGTTGGTATGTGATTCCCATATACCACATCATTCCCTATATACTCTTTCTACTTCCTCATCATTTTTAAAAATTTCTGTGTGCCTTCTCTTCTATTCTAAATTAATTTATGTTTAATTCTTGCACAAAAGGCTCTCCTTTCTGCCTTGTGCGCAAATAGCTAATCTTTTCGTTTTAATAAAATTAACGCATCCGTCATCAAATAATTAACTAGTGTAAATAAATTGATCATTATTTTATTTCTTCTGTTATAAACACACTTCGTGCCAAATTATTTAGACAGTTACTCTTATTTGCTTTCTTACCTTGAATGCTTAAAATAAAATCGAAGTTTGCAAGTGTGACTTATCCCACAACTTGGCACTATGCTTATTACGAAACGTTTATTGCACAATTCTAAATATTACTGGTATGGTTCAAGTACACATTTTAATGTATATACCTACTAGTACATAAATAACAGTTTTACATAACACTATTCATTTATTATTGTAAACTCGAACAATGGTATTGCAAAAATTATAAATTATTTATCTGTTTGCATAAAGCATAATAATGCATTTCATATCTCGTTATTTCACGCCTTTCCGCTGATATAAACTGTAAAATAATTCAAAGAAAACGAAAAGGTATTAGGCTGAAAAATACTTTTTCATATAAGTAATAAGTTCAATAAATGTAATCTAAAGTTCTTGGAGGGGGAGGGGGGTGTTACGCTTTGTTTAAAAGTTTTTGATAATGTTTTTAGGACAGTTTTCAGAGAAACAGGCAATTATAGTGCAATTTCTATTTCCGGTGAACATTTGTCTTATTTGGAATGCAAGAAAATGAAACTGACTATAACCCAAAATCAGAAGGTGTTTTAAACGTTTTACACTCCTTAAAAATAATTTCCATTACAGTTTATACACTTATTAGTCATGCGTACAAACCAAACCTCAAAAATGTCCTTCCACTTTTCTTTTGAGGGATCTGAACAGGCTTGATCACAAGCAGCTAAAAGCTCAGTATCTGTTTAAAATCTCCTTCCTTGCAACAGATCCTTAATGATTAGAAAAACAGCAGTAACAAGTAGCTACGTTTAGGCTATTCGCAGGATGTTCAAGTACTTTAACATCAATGCTATTCAAAAATTAGACAGTGTCACGTGCTCGATGCGTGGATGCGTTATCGTAATGAAAATCCCAAGTATCCATTCTCGAATTTAGTCAAATTTCCTGAACCTATTGATAAATTTGAGCAAACATTCGTCCATCTACCAGGAGACGCTTCCAGTACGCTGACTTTCTATTTATTCCAAAATATCCTCATCATCATCACAGGGTCGTCAGTCCTAAGACTGGTTGGACACTCACTTCCATTCCTTCCTATCCTGAGCTAATCTTCACATTTCTCCAAATTAGAAGATCCCTCATCCTTAACTATTTGCGAACAGTAATCTAATTTAGGTCTACCTCTGCACCTCCTAACTCCTGTTTCTGCCTCTAAAATGTCTCTGACTAGACCTTCATGCTTGAGAAGCCTATTTTTTATTGACTTCCATAGAGTCCTCTGTTCTTCTATTATTTCTAATACCTCTTCATTTTTAACCTTCTCTATCCAACAGTGTCCTCTTCATTCGCTGGTAACACCAAATGTTACCCACCCGTACAGCTTTAACAAACTTTTTCGAATTTCTAAATTAATCGTTAGCGAACATAAAAGTGACTTCTTTTTATTGAAGGCGACTCGACCCTGCGCTATTCTTTGCTTTATATCCCTACCAGGTGCGCAACAACGTTACAATTTGATTGGGTGCTCACCAAAAGTTCTCATCATAAAAAAGGTCATTAATGGAAATAATTGGAAAATCAAAAAAATCGGCTGCTCTCATAATACTAGAAATGACTAAAAAAAAAAGATCATTTCGGCTGTTCATTTACGAACTTGAACTGTTTGAACTGAGTTGTTATCTGAATCGACTGGGTGCCCATCCCAAATCGAGTGGGTGTCCGGGCACCCGTGGACCCCCCTTGTTGCGCCCTTGATCCCTACTACTCCTTCCGTCCTGACTTATCTGACTTCCTAGATACCAAAAATCAGCCACTTCTTCTAATCTTTCGTCTCCTATCATTACATTCGCTCTTTCCCAACTTTTTCCTCCCTTGCATACCGGTATTTTTTATTTACCTTTATTTATTTTCACACAATATTTTCCAAAATACCCTGCCGTGTAAAAAAATACAGATCATCTTTTTCTTCACAGATTGTGATTCCGCATCGAAACTGGAGTTTGTTCATTTTCGAACAGCCAAACTATTCGTTAGATTTTTCTATTTTATTTTTGTTTCCGTAGTTTTTTTTTTAATATCACATAGGTGTTTTTATTCCCAGAAAATTATTAAAACTGACCTTTGGTGTAATAAATTACTGGTATACCAAAAGCAGGTCATTTAAAATGAAACATGAATTAAATTGAGATGTAACTGTTTTCCTTTTACTTCTACATTTCTCATATGGAAAACTGACGTGTACTGGTGAGGTCAAGAAGTCATTTCCAATCTAGTTTTAAGGTCAGGTATAATTCTACAATTTTCTCACACAAAGTAAAGAAATGTTGTACCATGTGAGCTAAGGTGGGTCTACTAGGTGAATAATTGAGGAAGGTTATTGTGTTGAGCTAATAATATCCTTTTTATTAAGCTGTTATTAACCATGATGAAGACTACTTAGTTCAAAGAAACATTCAAATATAATTTCCCTTAGACAGACGCATATACACGTATATATCAAAAAAGTTCATAAATGGATTGAATCAGTCTGCTGAATCTAACACATAATAAATAAAAACTTGAAAATTTTGTCATTTTGTAGTAATGTGAATTAAAAAAAATCTTTCATAACAACCAAAAAATAATCAAGGATAAAATCCAAAATCATAAATTATTGTTTTTTGTATTTCTATTATCAGATTATCCGATTTTCCCATATTCATTAAGAATAAAGCAGTTAAAAACTGTAAAATAAGATAAATACAAAAGCAACAGTAAGACTCAGCGAAAGTGTTTTGTTTACAACAATAAGCGGACCGCATAGTTTTTGTTTTTATTTTGACATCCAATATTAATTGTACGTTTGCTTCAGGTAAAGGATGCCGTCATTGCTAGAAGCATTAGAACAAAAATATCAAGATGGAGGTAATGCAACCGACACAGAGGGTTCTGTGTCAATTTTCGTTCCGAGGAAACCACCCCGCGTCATTGTGCCTTCTTTGTTGGTCTTGAACGACTGTGATATAACCTCCGCAGGCGATAAACAGGCCCTGGTTGACAAATGTGCTGCCGTTGAGGAACTTGACCTTGCGAAAAATAAACTTGAACATTGGCCAGAGGTACGTGTGTTTATACCTATTCGAAATAGTTTATGAGAAAGCGGACACAAAAATTAACAGGTGTTTGTCAAGTTACGTTTGGGCAGTTCTCCAAATTGGAGGATAATTAGATCAATAAGTAATGGGTACCTATGTACTTACTAACCAGCATTACCGAGCATTTTGAAACAATTGTAACCTATAATGATGNAGAACCTACGAACTATGGACAGAATGACATACAATTAACTGAGGGTGAATGCGACCACCGAAGACTGATACTGACCCTCTCTATTGTAGTTCTTCCGACGCTGTAATTATATGATAGGCACTGGTTAAATGACATTCTGTAAACCTATTGCTTGTAGCCTTATCTTGAGGCATATTTAAATTGGAGATATTTCCCTTAATGTAATGAATTGAATTATATTCAAAGTTTGTGAATAATAATGACATAAAATATACAATTGAAACTGCAACAATGTTCATAAACATAAAAAGTCTGCAAAGTGACAAAATCAAACTAATAAATTATCGTTAATCAAAACCTGTTACAGAATTTGGAACAGTTCGGCCATACTGATGTATTCGTGTTCACCATGGAGTTATTTTATAAAGACACTCTTTTAAATAAATGTTTATACTTTTGAAGGTTCTTTTTGACCAAAATTAGAAAGCATTTTTTACGCTTAGCTTTAACAATAATATCATACCTGATGATTATTTCACACTGTTTCTTAAGAAACTTCGCAAGGTCTTTGTATTAATTTCGTATTTTTTAAAGAAAATGATTTACAATAAGACATAATTTTCATTAATAGTATTATAGAATGACTTCATTTAAAAAATACTTGATTAAAATAATATTTAAAAATAGAATATCTTCTAAAATGAAACATATAGTAAGCTGATGCCATGTATTTTTTTGTTCTCTTTGCTGAATTAGCAACGTCAAATTTCAATAAGTAGTAATTACTAAAGTATGTATCATCCTGACATATACTACAAACGAATCCTATGTTATGCACTTAAAAAGAAAAAAAACAATACGATACTACCAAAACAATTTAATATCATCAACCAGACGATAAATTGAAACCAATTTCATTAATTTGGAAAAGTTTTCCTTTTCCTTTGTTCATTCGCGAGTTGTTGACCTTTAACATTGCGAGGTGTGTTGGCCGTACCAGTTATTATTGTGTGCATTAACGATTAACCGATACTGTCTGTATTTCTTGATTCTCTATTTCAATAAATAAAACCAAAGCTTTTGCTATTTCTAATAAAATATAAAGCTTTTCTGCGGTGCTTGTACATAAAGAATTTTAATAACTAATTGTAAATAAAGCACAGGAAGAGTTTCTACAGTAAATGTTATTGGAAACTCAACAAAATTCTTTTAGCCTATCGGTCATTGTTTGATTTTCAAATACATACGAAGGTAATTAAGATTAACATTTTAAAGAAACTTGCTTTTGAACGTTTCAGAAACTATTGAGAATAATATAATTATATGCTTCGATTTCTTTTTATCAAGAGTGATATTAGTAATACTACTGCAGCATTCAAAAACCATTTTAATTAGAGTGAAGATAGGTATTACGCAAGTATTTGAGTTGATAAAATTAAACTCTAATGACTTATTATTATTATTGCTGGATGCATGCTTATTAACGAGTTATTTTTTAATAGTTTTAGAGATAAAATCTTTGTTTAGAGATCGTTTAAACTCGTTGGTAGGTACTCAATCTCATCATAGGTTTATTCACTTTCTAATTTTAATGATTTCACCCATTACAATTTCAACTAATAATCTTTATCTTCACGTTCACTTTTTTGCACATGCATTTATTATAACGGAAATTACAAGTCATCCATCCATAAGGACCTTCTTTACTTTCTGCAAACCTAAATGGGGCGATTACCTATATATACATACATATGCCCCCGAACGCTATATGATTCACCTTAATAGTGTAATTATTATTTCCTTAATTAATGATAAGTTAATTACATCCTAAACATCTAAAGATATATATTTATGTTCATACTTGATCAATTTAAGCAAAAAATCCAACACAAATTTTTGTTCGTGTTCATGATGTGATAACTTTTTAGATTGAATCTTTCGAGTTTGGGCAAATTTACTGATAATCATAGCAAATGACGCGAAATTTCGTTCAATGTTTCGCTACATTATTTACTTCTTCGGGTACTCATTTCAACTATTTTTAATAAATCTCATAATATATTTGCTTTAGTTGATAAGATGGATCTGGTTGTGCATGATAGATATCCGTAATATAGATTATTGAACCACGCCATCTTGCACAACCAGACCCATCTCCAGCACGATTTAACAATTTTTGCGGGTTGCTCATGAATTTTTAAAAAAATCGTAAAAAGAATATTTTTGCATTGAGAACAAATTATTATAGGTGCTGATAATAATATTCTTCTACATCCTGTTATTAAATACAGAAATTGTCACATTAGAAATGAAGGGTAGTAGGAGTTGTAAGGTATTTTAGGTATTTAAGAATCATGTACATATTTTAATTCATAGGAAGTTAGTTGTAGGTATATATTTCGATACAAAGACACATTGCATTTGATATTGTATATAATATATAAAAACGAATGTTTGTCTGTATGTCCTTTATAGAATCGTAAACTATGCATTTGATCATGTGATGATCTTTAGCAAAGTTGTTATGAAGGTTTCTGAGTTGGTACGACCAATTTTGGACAGGAAAAACAAGAAATATTGTGTATCACACAGCACAAACGAAACGCTGCAATGTCAAAATTTTTTCGAAATGAACAAAATCAATAAAATGACTCAAAATGAATTGAATATTTGTGTAATGTCTTTCCTTGAAATTTATTTTAGTTGGTGGCGTAGCAACGCGCGCAGGGTACAGCTAGTATTGTATAAAAATATGTTACATA